GGATTATGAAAAACCCTAACATTTCTAGCTCGATTAAGGATGGAGATGTGAAGATGGAGGAGGAAGGAAGTGTAAAGAGGAGGGAAAGTGAAAAGCCACCGGAGGATGACTGTTGTCCTATTTGCTTTGGGAATTTCTCCATTCCTTGTAAAACAAACTGTGGTCACTGGTTTTGTGGTACATTTCTAACATCCTTTACTTACTAATACTACTACTACTACTGTTTGTTTTTCTTTTCAGAAAATCATTTTATCGATTTTTCTGTCTTTAGTCGTGAAAGGTGGAATGATATAGTAAAGTATATAAGTTCTATGTAGATTATGATTTCCTTGTTCCTGGTTTTCCCTTGCTCCGCAGCTAGTTGCATATTGCAGCTGTGGTACTACAGATCAACACTGCGGCGATGCAAGTGTCCAATATGCTGCTGCCTCATAAGTAAATTGGTACCGGAGGCATCATTACTTGCTCAACAGGAAGAGGATGTTGTCGAGCTACTTAAAAAGATTAGGCGGTACAATCACCTCTACATTAGTGGTGCTTATGGGATATTTCTGGTAAGGCTGCTATCTTAGAAGCTTCATTTCTGCAATGTGATTCTCATTTGTGCATTTCTTATGTATACCTCTTATAATTTTATTGGGGATGTTAAGTAATGGATCTTGAGCTAACTCAACCCTTAAAGCTGGCTAAAGAGGTGAGATTTTCCAAGTCATATTAAAGAGACCAACCATGCCTTAAAGGGCCGGTGTGGGACTCTTCATGCCCATCTCACGCTCAGTACTATTTTATAAAACTCTATTAGCATCTCCAGCTAAAGATTTATTGTTCTATAACAGTATCCCAAACTAGTTCCCCTACTATTTGTGAATGTCGCTTCATTCTTTTATAATTTCAACCTCTCTTTGTTTTTCCCTATGGTAGGAAATTGTGTAACATTACCCTAGTTAAGTGGATTTAATTAGATACAAGGAGGTCCATCTTAGAAACTCTGCTTGAAGTTGGTGCAGATTTAACTATTGTGAGTCAGCAGGAAGAGGTAATAAGCAGTCAGGAAGTGATACAAATAAAAGATAATCACAGAGTCAACCTTTTAGTCTGATGCCCTTCTTTCTGATGTGGTACAGTGGCATTTAGCAAAAGGGGGAGAGATCTGATACGGATAACTCCCCAACACTTTCTGGTCACAACTCCAAAAAGATATCTAGTACAAGTATGTTGAGTACAAGTGAAGCATATCACAAGTATATCTTACTTCTGATGCAAGTTGTTTGCTAGCATTGGTGAATAATGTAATCTTTGACAATAAGTTAATATTTGGGTGCTGCAGCCTTGCATTTTGTTCCTCATGAAAGATTGTCGCTGACCTTTCTTCTCAGCCATTGCTTCTATGTGATTTTATGCTTAAATAATGGTAAAACCTTTCTATAAAGAGTGAAACTTCCTTAATTCCATTGGGTTGTATAGGCACAGTTGTAGGCTTGTAGCAATAAAGGGCTCAAAAGGCACCAAATAAGCTGTAAGCAAGTATCCTCCCCACCCACCCCATACAATTTTTATTTTTAAAAACACTAATGACACTTGCTCTTCTAATTATACTTCCATAAGAACTAGGTTTCTAATATACATTATTCATTCTCGTTTTCTCTTAAATTAATATGAGAAGATAAGGTAACACAGAGAGACTTTCCAACTCAAAGAATCCTCCACAAGTGTCCTTCCATTCAGAGAACTTCACTTTTAAGGGCTAGCTCCTCCAAGACCTCAAATCATTGCTCAGGTAGTCTTATCTTCTCAGTGCACTCACAAAACAAATTAAATACTCCCTCCGTCCCATTTTATGTGGCAACATTTCCTTTTTGGTCAGTCCCAAAAAGAATGTCACATTTCCTTATTTGGTAAGTATTTAAAGGTACAATTCCTCTTTTATCCTTGTTGGTCCCACTTAATCTTGAAAAGAGTACTCCAATACATTTATTAGGAGAGAGAAAAATAAGTCTATTTTTTTAAGGGCAATTTGGTAAACATTTCAAAGTCTTTATCTATTTCTTAAACTCCGTGCCCGGTCAAATGTTGCCACATAAAATGGGACGGAGGGAGTATTTAATTTGTTTTGTGAGTGCACTGAGAAGATAAGACTACCTGAGCAATGATTTGAGGTCTTGGAGGAGCTAGCCCTTAAAAGTGAAGTTCTCTGAATGGAAGGACACTTGTGGAGGATTCTTTGAGTTGGAAAGTCTCTCTGTGTTACCTTATCTTCTCATATTAATTTAAGAGAAAACGAGAATGAATAATGTATATTAGAAACCTAGTTCTTATGGAAGTATAATTAGAAGAGCAAGTGTCATTAGTGTTTTTAAAAATAAAAATTGTATGGGGTGGGTGGGGAGGATACTTGCTTACAGCTTATTTGGTGCCTTTTGAGCCCTTTATTGCTACAAGCCTACAACTGTGCCTATACAACCCAATGGAATTAAGGAAGTTTCACTCTTTATAGAAAGAACTCATTGATGAAGTGAAGCAAATTGATTGATCTTATTGATTCATTTTAATGTCTGATTTATATGTTCTCTTTCTCTTTCCCGCAGAAGGTACTAGCACTGCCACTTTTAACTCGGAGAGTTCTCCGAGCACTGATGGACACTCTGATGGATCCTGATCAAGTTCGGTTAAACTATTACTTGATGCGCATTCTTGCAGTAAGTTTTTTACAGAGTTAATTGGGAATCTTCCAAGAACTTCTGGTCTCTGGATTCTTGTTACAACAGTATGTAGGAAAGGATGCATAATTATGTAAGTGCTGGAGGATCTAGAAAAGTGGCACATTTGAGTTGCCATGTGATCTTGTTGCTTTTTCTTATGATTATGATTACTCAATAACCTTGCGTAATGAGAGACAATGATCCATATTCTTTGGATGTACTCTGTGCTGGGTGAAGCATGGATTCTCATGAAGTACCCTAGGACAATTTTGGTTAAATTCCTCTGTGAAGTTGTTAGTGACATAGAAAATCCCTGGAATATCGCGTACACTGGTAATCTAAGTACTGTACTATGCAAAACCAAAAGACACTTATCTTATTGAGCATTCCTTTTTGTTTTATGATGTAATTATGCTATAAATCGTCTTTATTGTACAGTTTGTTTTTCTGATTGTTTATGCTTTAGCTTCTTTCTTCACAATTGGTCGCTCTTAAAGTAAATTCTTTATGTTTACTGCAGTTATTCTTGAGTTGGATCTACTGTAGCTGCGAATTTCAGTTCATTCCTACTGGTATTCTACTTGTCATACTCTATTGAAGAACTAGATTTGTATGGCATGGCATGCAGGTTAAGTTTTATGATTATTGCAGCCATGAGACACTAGAGAATCTCATCCTTTATAGGGTAATTCTGATTTTAGAATCATTTATACCGTTAATATATGGTCATGACAATGCAACTTAATAGAGTAGTCTATACTGATGAAACAAGAAAGTATATCTCGTAGAATGAGTTGTTTGTTTGGTTTATAGAGAACTGTTCTAATTCACTTCTAGGACTTCCCAGGTCTTGATTCTTCATGCAGCCATTGACAGGATGTTGCTGAATTTTGAACGTAAGCTGATAAATTACTTGTTTGTAGGAGGACTGGGAATCTGGAGGTTGTTTGACATCTGTGCTATTGCCACGGTGGCCATTTTCTATTTGGTTGGCCTATACCATAGATGGGTGCTTCGTCGTCGTGTGAGACAGTTGGCTGTTCTACCAATACATCCTGATTGAAAGCCTATGCCAGCTTACTGGGAAGTCCTTGCTGTGAATATATCTCAATGTTTGTTGCCCAAAAAAAGAGATCCCCTTGCAGAATATTTGGTTGTATGGGAGGTTATTTTAAACCATTTTCTTCTACTCATTTTGTAGGTAGCCAAGAGAATATATATTAGTCTTGAACTCTAATTAACTAAGTGCTTAGTATGCTTTTGGTACATATTTGAACTTGGTAGGTCCTAGAGTATTCCACCAATTAGTAATCCAAGATTGTCAAGGCTCGTAGTCAAGTGAAATCTTCGAGATTTCAGAAGTTTACAGCATGATATGTGGTTACCTGCTTATTGAGATTGGCACATTCATGGTTAAAGCATCAAGTCTGAGCTATTCTTATAAAATATGCTTTGTTGGATTTATTATTACTCATTTCCTAGTTGCTTAAATTAGCTCAAAAAGGTTGCTTGATTCTCCCCAAAGTAAAAAAGGAAAATGTGCCCTTTCATTATTGAAATAATACATACAGTAATCCCTTGGGTAATTTTGTTCCCTAGGCAAACTCATAAGTAAATTTTTGGAAATATTCTAGCACAATAATGCGAAAATAATCAAAGAATTTGAAGCTCATTTACGGGGTGATTCGACATTTTTAAAGTTGAAATTACAGATCATTTTTACTACTATTTCTCTTAATTGAGATTTACTAAATATCTTTAACCTTAAGACATAACAAATTTTGAAAAACAAATACTAAATTACTTGGCTAATTGATTTTTAACTAGATAACTTAATGAATTACAGTAGTCTTTTTTTTTTTGATGACAAGGGAAACCTACAGCCATTATCCTTTGGGTGCGCACAGGGTAAAACCCCCGCTCCTATGCAATAGCTCGAGCTAACCCGCACTAGGCAAGCCCGGTGCGACGAGCTCGACCAAAAGGCAAATCACTTGCTTTCGCAAGCAAGGAATTTCGAACTTGAGATCTCCAACATGGAAGTCCCAAGCCCAAACCACTGAGTCACCAGAAGGGTAAAATTACAGTAGTCTTTGAATTTTAAAATGGGTGGAGAAGACATAGAGCTTTGTGATTTATTTGTAGTAAAATTAAAAAAAAAAATTTACTTTATTTCTGATTTCTCTCACTTTAAAAAAAATAAAAAAATCTTGAAAGTGTTTTTTAAGACATATTATAAGCTTTTAAGCTGACCCATATGATAAATTTAAAAAAGGAAAAACGTAGAGTATTTGCAATGAACCGTAAAAGTGACGTTTCCCGTGAAAGATGTAAAAACAAGAAAAGGATAAGACCAGAAAGGTGATGCTGGAAAGTGTGCGACTAGGATCAAAATTTCCGGCACGTCATCAACATTTCCGCATATATAAAAACAACTTTCTAAACAGAAAATTCTTCCATTTCCATCATTTCTGCTATCATGAAGTTCTTCCTCAATAGTATTCCTTTACGAAATCGTCGTCAAAACCCTAACCCTATCCCACCTTCTCCAGCTATGCTTTCTGACTTAGCTCCCGATTCCGGTGATGGACGACAGGAGGAAGCCGCCTCTTCCTCCTCCGCCGCCGTGATGAATTCGGACGACGAGGAGGAAGATATGGGATATGAGTCGCCTGAGAATGAGGTGAGTACGACGTCGTTTTCAGGAACGGAGATAGAGGATGAGCAGGAAGGTAATCGTGAACCGACAGCAGAGGATGAGGACCGTCGGGAGCTGGATGGTGCATCTTCGAAGAGCCTTGTGGTTGTTGAGGCAGAGAATGCGTTTTTGAGGACGGAGAAGCCTCCTACTGATGATTGTTGTCCAATTTGCTTTGGAAATTTTGTCGTTCCTTGCCGAGGTCCCTGTGGCCACTGGTACTGCGGTAAAACATTTAGCTTATCTTAATGTCTCTGGTTCATTTCCATGTTTATTGTGGTTATTATTATTGTAATAGCTCAAGGATAAGATTTGTTTTCCATGAAATTGATTATGTGCTGCTATTTTTGGAAGGAATTGGGGCTATATGGAGCAGATGGATGTTCTTTGCTCTTCTCTGAAATTTCGTTACTACTAGGAAGAGCTAGTGGATAGTGGTCTTATCACACTACATTTAGATTTTGCAACTCGCCTTGGAAATTGACGGTGGAGAATGTGGAAGCACCACATAAAATTATATATATAGTTGGATTAATTTGTTAAAAAAGAAGAAAATATAGTTGGAAAGCCAGCTTAATACCATAATTATGTAGGTTCATTAGTAGGCTTTAAACGATGTGCAGCTCATGTCCGAGTCATTTTACTCTATCGCTCTTACCTTTTTCATTAGTTTGGTTGAAATCTGAAATACGTTAGGGTTAAATCCACTATTTTATTTGGAATCCCTTTTCCTGTCAATACCTAGGTTTAGATAGGAGAAGATAATGATAATGTCATGCAAGTGTAGTTGGAAATTATCCTTCCTATGGCAATTTATTGATTAGGACAATATTTGAATCTCCTTGAGAATTGTTGAGATCTGTTATCTCATAATTTTGCTAATCCTGGTTTCCTATCCTCTTGGAGAGTGAGATGTCAAGCCTCTCCTGTACTCATAAATATTTGACGTTAATTGTTTGAATGTCCGTAGAGAAAAAGTAATTGCATTCTCAACAAAAGCCAGGTCTTGTCTAGTCGACCATCACAGTTATTTGTCTTGAAGTTGTTTTATCAAGCTTTGCCTCAATACTTTTTCTTTCAACACATTCTTTTCAATTTGGTTTCTACGCGTGCAGGAGGTTGCATTTTGCAGTATTGGAACTACGGTGCCGCACTTCAGCCCTGTAACTGCCCCATGTGTTCGAGGAAGCTTACTGATTTGACACCTGAGGCATCATTGTATAGTCAGCAGGATGCAGAAGTAATTGAGGTTTTGAAAAAAGTTCGAAAGTATAATCGCCTTTTTATAGGTGGCACTTATGGCCTCATGCTGGTGCGTTAGACTCGTATGTTATTTCATCATATGTTAGATTGCGTAGATGGGATTATCCTTATATTTTAAGCACAGATTGAACCATCTGTTTGGACCTTGTGTCTCCTATGTTTTTAGTTGGGACCTATTTGTGCATCTTTGGTTCTTTCAAGCTCAAAGCAGAATATCTTCTTGTTTAATCCATTAATTTCGAGCTCAAGATCATGTGCTTTGAAAGAAATGGTCATTAATATTCTTGAGATAAAGTCTTGAATATGTAAGCTCCATGAATTCAGCAAGAGATTAAAGAAATCATGAAATCAGACAATGTTTGTCGTATGAATTGAATTGATCTGATTTGTGCTGACTGCTTATGGGTAATCCTCTTGCCTGCCTACCTATGGTTTGTTAAACAAAGCTAGTTGAACCTAACAAGTATAATACATATCGTGTGTCTTATATTTTGCGGGTTTGTTGCTTAAGCTATCCTCTTGCCTATCTATGGTTTGTAAAAAATAACAAGTTAGTTGCACCTAATTTTTACATCAACCTAATAAATACATGCAATACATTACGTGTGTCTTTATTTAAATTGTTCTCTCTCTTGAATAATAGCAGAGCAATATTTTCAGTGGTTTCTAAACCTACACTTTGTGAGACATAATTACTGGTTTACCATTAAGTAATAGCAGAGCACCACATTTTCTTTATTTTAGCCCTTCTCTTTCTATTTTCTGCAGAAGGTGCTTGGACTTCCCTTTTACATGAAGAGAGTGTTTAATGAAATGATGAATCCTGACAGGCCTGGTGCTCATTTGAACAAATTGCGTATTTTTGCTGTAAGTTCGTCTTGACAGCTTAATGCAATGACTGCTACATTGCTACTTTAATCAGCTATCTGTAGTATTTGGTTTTATGGCTCTACAGCCTCAATATTCTCCCTCAATTAGTTCCAAAGCGAACAACAAATTCTCATTATTTATCAGTTTTCTGGCCTTAAATTGTTGTTAAGGTTTCTTTCTGATTTGCTATCTTTATCTACCTTGTCATTCTATTCTTTATTATATTTTAGTAACATCATTTCTTGAACTTATCCGCTGAAGCAGATAATTTCTTGCAGATGTTCCTGGGACTCCTTTACACATTCAGCCCCTTTGATTTTCTCAGAATAGGTACACACATCTGCTAGTTGAACTTGATGGGTGTAGATTTTGAAGAATAATAATTGGGCAATTTTGTTGTAATATTGGTCTGTTAATACAAGTATATAAACTATGAATCTCTATGTTGCATTACAGGGACTGAAAGGTAAATAGAAACTGAGAAAATCCATTTTTTGGCTGTCTTCACTATTAGACCTCTATTTATTGCTGTGAGAGCTCTTCTTTCCCCACCCTTCCTGCATGCTGGAGTGCTATTGGGTATTTTTGTTGGTGAAGAACTCAAGATGCATTTCTCTTTGCATTGACCTTTTTTTTATTGCCATCTCACTGCAGGCCGTCAAAATGTCATTGATGTGTTTGATTATTCTGCCATTGCACTATCCTCAGTGTTATATTTGGTTGGGCTGTATCTTCGACGAAGGCGTTTCCGCCATGTTAGGGAAATGGCTGAGGCTGATTTTGCTGCTCATTGACAGCTGCCAGCTGGTGAAGCAAATATTTGTCGTCAACTCATTGTGGAGCTTGAAGATTTTGGATTTCTAAAGATCTTCCTCTGCTTTTGTGGTTGTGCGCTTTTGCAGAGTTTGAGATGGTCTTGCCTTATGATGCAGTTCTCTTACATTTACCTGCCAGTCTGTACAGATAGAATGTAGTGTTATGATGTATATACTCATTTAGTTGATCGCTTTTCCACTTCCGTCATATATTCTTGAATCTGAATGGAATATAGTCTCATTAGAAAACTACCGGCTTGTTGTACTAATAATGAGTCTTTTTCACCTTACCTTGAACAAGACCTATTCTACAGGCTCTTGCTATTATGTTGTGTCCTTAAGTTTTAGGAGTTTGTCTTCTTACCAACTTCTGTTTTCTTTATATTACTACTGCTATTTTCTTTATATTACTGCCGCTATCTCTTCAAGCTCTAGCTATATGCAAATTACCCCTTCGTCATTGTGGAGGGAGGGATCTGGTATCATTAGGGTTTATTTACTTCTTTGAGTGATCCATAGCTTGTAATGAGACGTTAAAGCTACTGAACATGATAGCAACTTTTTTACATTTAACTGATCCCATATTCTCTTATACATTAACTAACATATGCCTACTGAAATAGCTTTAGAAAAAATCACGAAGAAAATCAAATGAGGAGAAAGGTGAAATACTACGATACACCGCCAGATGGAACAGAGGGTTGCACTAATATGTCCGAGTCAAACTTCATGCACACCTCGACATTACGTTTTTGTATTAGTTGAAAAGGCAACACATGATAAGCAGAGTGAATGGATCATTCCAAATGTTATCTTCGGTGCATCTGTGAGAACACAGGAAGCTATGGAAGAATATATATAACACCAATTTAATAACAGTTTTGTGTTTCTGGATTAGGCTTGTAGTGCATCACAGATTCACAGTACAGATTTTTTCATCCAATCTGCATTCAAATTATTTCTCAAACTTAAAATGTATATACAAGCAAGCGTTTAAGTTGACCCTTATTTCAGCAAATATCTACATTTTCTAGGTTTCCAGTCACATTACTACAATAACAATAACCTTCAATCTAGGGTGACTGAGATTCACAGCTAGATAATACAGAATAATAACTACATGCCCTGATATATACAAAAGAATGTTAAATACCTTCACATATTATCTACTAACTGTGCATACCAAGGACCATGAACATTCACCGTCACATGTGCTGCCATAACCAATACAGAGGTGGCATCCGCAATCTCATCAATTAGAACAGTTGCTCCCACCTGCCATAGAGCCGCTTCAGCCAATTCTCTTCCTTGTCTTCCAGTTCCCCCAAGTACAACTCCCCTTCCAGCCAAATATATTGCCCGGGCTACATGCACAAAAATAGCATCCCCAGCTTGCAGGCTCTTGGATAACATCCTTGCCATGATCTCCTTGATCTGCTGAAGCTTCATCTCATCAGTACCATTGTCGCCATGCTCCAAAGGTTTGACAAGTGTCGAGATGATCTCTTGAATACCAGCATCATTATTGGAGTCAAGGAGCTCAGAAAGAGCTTTGGCACTTCCTTGAACAATTTTATCCATATCTGCTGCACTTAATACCATTTGCATACTCTGAAGAACCTGTCTTTGGACTAGAATGCTGCAGAATCATAATCAAGTCAATAAGTAGATCATCAAAGGGCAAGTAAGATATCAAAATAAGAGCATTTCTCATCTCAGAACCTCTGTACTTTCCTTCCCAGAGAGGGAGAGGGGAATGAGATAGAGTAACAGTTACCTGGTAGCTATTACGATGATCTTTTGGATTTTTGCCTGAGTAGTCCTTAGTCTAAAAAAGTTCAGTTGCAGAGTTTCAGGCAACCCTTCTTGCGTCAGACCAGATACTGCATTTACCAACTTTAACAATCCCAGCCTCACCAATAAATCAACCTTGTCCCCCGTGCATTCTTGGCATTCATCTACAGCTTCTGAAAAGAAGAGACAGAGTCTAATAAGGTAAAAGATGCAGGAATTCTAGGCAGCTGAATGCTCCAAATTGATCTGATGCAGTTTGGAATTTAAAGAGGTAAAGCAAGGGGCTGACTCTGAGGTAACCAACCTGTAGAGGTCAAAGGTGAAGCATGATTTTTATTCATTTTAACTGAAAAGCTTCCTCCAGTTCTAAGGGTGGCAGAAGGAAGGAAACGATCTTGTCCACTTGTCAGGCTGGATAGAGCCTCCTTGTGTTCATTAAATTCCTGGTCCATGGAATCTTTGACAGATAAAAGCCACTGCCATGTCAAGGGTAAGGCGGTCATAGCCATAGAAGGAAGACCATAACGCTTGGTGAAAGCTTTCCTCAAATAATCTAAAGCTCCAGGTCCCTTGAGAATTGGTTCCAACATTCTAATCCTTGCCTTGCTTATTTCTTGTTTCAGCAGCTGCACAAAAAAAAGAGGGAATGTCAGACACCTTATACTGGGTTAAGAAAAATACTGAGATAACAGAATTGGAAGCACAAAAATCCTCAAAGATATAGCTGACGGAAAATTTCTAGTCTATAGACTTGTTTGTTAAGCAATGTGGTACAACAATTATGTTTCAAGATCAATTCAAACACCAGAACACCCTGTATCAGAATAGAATATACTTGTATCCAAGACACTTTCTTTGGAATGTGAAATAGGTCCTATTCTAGACTACATAAATGCTATAATTCTATCGTCTTACAGATGATTTGTGCTCCCCTGATTCTGCAGCATGCATAGAAAGAGAGGGGAGGAAGAGGAGAGAAAGAGATACCAAGAAAATAAAACGTCTGTATATATCTATAGTACTACCAATATCAATCCCTGGTCCTCTAACGTTACTTTGAAACAATGCTCTCTTGCTGAACTATCCACAAAGTTAGTGCACTTAAGTCTATAGATGTGATGTTTAAACCAAGGAAAGAATAAAAGATGTTCAGAAATTTATTTACCTGCATCTCTTCCAGTACAAAACGCAAACCCCTAACTAGTGCCAGGATAAATGAATTCTCTGACCCATCCATACATATATCAGCTAGTTCTCCAAATAACTTTTGACAATTTGCTTTTAGCTCATCCTCCTTAGCTGGAGAGGATAGTTTCTGCAAAGTGACCAATGTGAAATCCATGATCTTTTGAAGATAATCCATGTTGAGTTTGCCTGAGATCAACAACTAAAAAAGGAAGGCAAATTGTTAGATGGATGAAGAACTTACTCGTATCATAAGGTAAAAAGAAGCAGACACATGACCTTAATGATCAGGGAGGTACCTGAGAGAGAATGTCTATATCTATAGCTTCACTAATCTCTTGTCTCCAGCTCTGAGGAGCCAAACTACAAAGTTCATCTCTTGCTTCTCTCATTAGATCAACAACTCGATTGTATCTATTTTCATCCTTTTTCATGGATTCCATGACACTATCCCAGAAAGCCTTCTCCATCGTTTCTCTAACTTTGTCCTGTAAGGTCATCAGGGCAGAACAAATCAATAAAAGTTTCTGCTGTCCCTTCCGGACCAAATGTGCTATGGTTTAGTAAATCAAGATGTAAGAATGCACCTACCTTAATACTATTATCGTATTTATCAGCAACTTTTGAAGACTCAGCAAATTCAAGACGCTGACCATGAAGTGACTCGTTCACAATTAATTCATTCTCCATTACCAATCCCTCATCAGTATGGGATGACTGCAAGCTGTTATTGGCAGAAGAACCGACTTTTGAAGGTAGTTCATCCCTAAATAAGGAGCGCACCACACGGTTTGGCTTCTGATCACTCACCTCAAGCAAATTCCCTCCTTTATTTGAACCCCCAAGAGAAGAAGAGGCACCTGCGAGAGCAATTGGGCTTGGAGATACTGACTGCATAATTGGAGAGCCCACAGGACTTCCATTTTCTTTAGCTTCAAAGTATTTGTTTCGTGTGTCAGAAATTGCATTATCCATCCGTTCAATACCAGCACCTCCACTAATATTAAGCACTTTTTCTCTTAGAAGTCTCTGATCTTCAATCACCTACATGACAGGAATGATGTCTCAAAAATTATGCTCGCTAAGAGTGAATCTTTTTGATAGAAGCAACATTTTCTGAACCAAGAAGCTAATATAAGGAACCTAAAGATATTGAAGGAATGACAACTTCTTCAAGCAAGAAAAAATAAAATCTAGGGGTTAAAAACCTGTTTCTGGATAGCCTTCAGATCGTGAGTAAGAGCACCACCATCTCCTTCAGCAGTGATCCGGCATTTTTGAATCATGGAGAGTTCAAGCTGGCAAGCAGCTCTAACCAAATCCTCCTCTAAAGACTGGGCATCTTTAACCTTCCACACCACAAAGCTATTCAAGTAAGAGCACCATGCTGAATCAAACTCTGTGAGCTGCGACTTGAAGGTCCTGCGCCTTGCCAATCCGCAATCAGTATCCCCATCGGAAGTCTGGATGGAGCCATTCAATATTATCCTTACCAGCAGTTCAAACTCTCTGACAAATTTTTCAGCAGATTTGGCCAGGGCAATCTCATGCTCCCCTTTACCACTGAACACTGCATCAGGGTGACCTAGAATCATATATGCACACAGCACGATTCGAACTGGATACCTCAACAACTTGACTGGAGTTTTGGCTGCCGGTAAGTTGGATACTGTTTTTTTTGCACCACCACTGCGCAGAGATCTCCTTGGTGTAGCCTTCTTTTTGGGTGTAGCTACTCGGTTGAGAAGATGATCAATATCGCCCCAACCAATGGTATTTGTGGCACTGCCAACATCACGCAACAATTTGAAGCGAAGCTCAAGCCGATCGAGCAAACCTTTCGCTCTCTGTAGTGTATTAGGCGATTCAATCTTCATTGCTAGCTGCTCAAATGGCATTACCTTAACTGCATTCTCATTAATACTCAGCATAGTATAAGCTTTTGCAAGATGGAAGGTCGTCTTTCCACGTGTAAGGAACTGCTTCCAACACCTGGAAAAGGATACTTACAAGATATCATCACCTCCGTACATCTTATCGACAGTATTTCATGCAACTACGAAAATGAGCTCAGTTATATCAAGACAATTTGCATAACGAAAGAGAGTTTGCTCCCTTACCTTGCTAATTTCCTTGAAAGCAGGTCAGCCTGGTCATGCATCTCGTCATAACTGTCACAAAAGGAATTATGTGCTTTACCTCTCTGCATCAAGTATTCTTCTCTTTGTCTCTTTGCCTGTTCATTGTCAAGTGGCAAAGTGACAGAAAGTGTCACATTATACAGAGGACATAATCATTAAAATTTATTTAACTTGAATCAAGTAAATATGTTGTTACCCTTTGCAGCTTGTCTTCTATTTTAATTTGCATTTCCCTTCTTTTGACCTCTTCCTGGTGAGAAATGGACTTCACAACATTCCGCAC